CATCAAGGCCCTTTTCCAACACTGCCTAACGACCAGCTATTTCCAATGGGACAATGAATTCTATGAACAGACAGATGGAGGGGCCATGGGGAACCCCCTCAGCCCAGCTATAGCAAACTTGTACATGGAGCATTTCGAAAAACAGGCCCTGGCTTCGGCACCCTTTGCACCCACAGTCTGGTTCCGATATGTGGATGACACCTTTCCAATTTGGATGTATGTGAAACAATGGGGATAAGGCACACTTTTCTCACAGTACTAGCATGGCTATGCATGGGTCAAAAAACCATCATTCAAACTAATGAGATGAACTCTGCTGCTCTTTTAATCAGCAAAGGGATGAAGCAAAGATTTTCCCTTTCCTAAACTTTATTTGCAGATGCCATGAAGCCTTTGGCTTTGTTCATAACAGCAGATCTCCCAATTAAAAGCTATGAACATTACTGGAAACAGTGGAACCCACACATGCTTGTGGGGCAATATTCTTGTGTATAAGAGGCTATGCTGCTGAATCTTTCCATCTTTTTGCTTTTGCAGATACTTTGTTACCTGGATCCCAACTACAGAAAGGTATGTTTCTGACATTTATGGATGAGGAGGCTTTTGCGTGGGCAAGAAGCTAAACCAATTGCTAGTCCCATCAAGAAGACACAATTGGCAATTGAAGGGGGCTGGGATAGAACCATATGGTGTCACTAGGATGCCTGACAATGTTCCCTCTAAGCCGTGCAGGTGTGTAGTGCTGCATCTGTTTCACGCACCCGGTGGAAAATTAGAGGGAACATTGACAACCGGTATGTCATGTTGTGTCATTCCCATATGCAAATAGCTTACAGACCTCAAGAAGGCCCAAGGCACCTCTTTGAAAATTGCTAAACTTCAGATATCCAATTAGAGCTTCTGTAGCTGCAGCTTATTCCGCTGACTTTTATTTACGCAGTGTAAGGATCTAAATTATATTTATTTTTCATTAAACATCCTTTTTTATAAAAGCTAATATTTCAGTATGTTTAAAGTAAAAAATTATCATAGAAGCAACGTGCGGAGGATTTCAGGTATTAGATATGAGATCTGTTCTTTTATTACCGTCTAGCTGCAGTAGACTCCCAACTTACCACTTAACTGCTCACCCTGCAACGGCTGTAAAGTGGGTCCCTCTAAGTCAAAATATACTCACATCCCAAGTCTCAGGCCTGAGTCTCCCCCTCCCTTTGGCTTCCATGTTCTTTTTGACCCACTCAGCTGTTTTCTACTGTCCTGCTCCTTTTCTTTCCTCTCCTCTTTTTAACTCCTTTCTGGCAAAATAGACGTTAAAAAGAGTTTCAATTTCAGGTGTAAACATATTTTAAAAGTTATTTTTAAATATAGAGAATAAATATACAGTGGTGCCTCGCTTAACGAGCGCACCGTATAACGACAAATCCGTATAGCGATCCCTTTTTCGGGATCGCTATACCGAGGTGCCCCAATCGCCGCACTCACTTTGCGATGATTGGGGCGTCCGGCGGTCGTTTTGGAGCCGCCGAACAGCTGTTCGGTGGCTCCAAAATGGCCACCGGACGACCGGAAAACATCGCTGAAGGGTGAGTAAAGGAGCATGTTGGAACGCATTAAACTAAGTTTAATGCGTTCCAATGGCTTTTCCTGCCCCGTACAGCGATGTTTTCGGATAGCGGGGCACCGCTGTACAGAAATTCACCCATTTAAGCTGGAAAAGTAATAAATTTTTTTTATTTTGTTCTGTTTTGGGTTTATTTTGTTTGTTTGCTTTGTGGCTGGAGGTTGCCACAAAGCAAACAAAGCAAACTTTGGAGCCTCTTCCACCCATATTGTTGCTATACAATTGCTTGGTAATAAAGAAAAAACTCCAAAAATGCTATGTGCCACCAAGTCATGTCTAATGTATGTTGAATGTCCAGAGACAATAGTTTTCTATAAGCAAAAGTTACTAAAGAGCTGCAGCTCATTCTCAAAGTCTTTGAGGAGGAAACCTGGACTCCCTTAGAGATGATGCCCCCCCCCAGCCTATAAACAATTGCTCACACATAACGGGCCACATACAGGAGTGATGGGGAAACCAGATGCCAACTCTGCCCTTGCCTCAACTCTAAAAGGCAATTCAGGCTAAAATAAATGTTAGCCTTCATTGAGCCTCAAGTTCTCTTTTACCCTATTTATTATACAGTACATAATGGTTTTCTTGTACATGTTCAAAGAGATTTAAATGGCTGCTTGTACAAACCTAGTGTGGTGTGTTAATGACACAAGTCACACCATAGGGGTTCTCCCCACCTCCTTCTCCTCACTTTCTCTTTTGCTCTTTGTCTCTCTTTGTCCCCAAACAGCAAATGTCACCCTGGATCCAAAGACAGCACATCCCAACCTCATCCTATCCGAGAATCGCAAAAGTGTGAGGTGTCAAGGCAGATGGCAAGGTTTGCTTGACAATCCCAGCAGATTCTACATTGATTATTTTGTGCTGGGAAGTGAAGGATTCATTGCAGGCAGACATTACTGGGAAGTCACTGTGGGAGGTGAGGAAGGTTGGGCTGTGGGGGTGGCCAGAAATTCTGTGCGGAGGAAAGAGACTGTTGCATTTCAAACTCAGCAACGAATCTGGGCTGTTGGGAGATGGGGAGGTGGCTACAGGGCCTCCAACCTTCGTGGCATACATTTTCTCTCCCTGGGTGGGAAGCCAAGGAGGGTCCGGGTGTCCCTGAACTATGAAGGGGGACGGGTGTCCTTTCATGATGCCGACACAGGATCCCATCTCCACACTTTCTCTGGAGCCTCTTTCTCTGCGGAGACCTTTCTCCTCTTCTTTTGTGTGTGTGCAAAAGCCTCCCTCACAATCTCACCTGAAGACACCTAAGATGACCTCAGAAGAATATCAACTCTTAATTGATATCTCCTTCTCCTCTTAGAAATCCCACTCACTCAAAAGAGGGGCTTCGGGCCACCCTCCTCCCCAGAAACGAAAGTGAACTAAAATTGGGGGGGGGGCTTTGCTTTTCTCCCTTTCCCAAACTTCTTCCTCCTTTTGGCAATTAATTCTTAAAGAGACAGTAGCCCCTTTCCTTCATGTTAGAAATCTTATAGAGAAAATGTGACATCTACAGGTCCTATTCTTTATTTCCGGTTTCTGATTACCTTTGCCACAACCTCCAAAGTCCTGAGCACTTGGTGTTAAAATAATCTCTTCCCCAACTCTGAAAAATATTAAGGGAACAACACTATCTTTCTTACAAGAGCCCCAAGCATGCAGAAGTCATTGTGACTTGGGGAAGTACAGTATGTTATTTTAGGCCGAGGCTCACTGCATGAAGAGCAATAAATGGACCGGTGGGTTCTGTGGAGAAGGCCCAGTTTCCACTGGCACCTAGGGTGCCAATATTTGTCTTCGTATCCCTCAGGATACAAATGCTAATATCCCATGTCTAGTGAGGATCTTGTTGTGCTTGCATTGACCGAGAACAACAGAATGGTATTCCAGTGGATGAAGAAGCTCCCCCTTACATGTGGACATTTGCTCAACTTGTATGTAATTAGCATTTATTCATATGCAGGTCCTGATTCTTATAGACAATACAACTCATTTGTATAATATATTTCCATGAATATGTGCATCATGGAAAAAACTGAAAGATATATTACCTAACCTTGTAGGACCATTGTTGTTTCAAATGAAGGTTGGGAGAGATTTTTTTTTTTTGAGCTTGCGTGTGTGTGTTACTCCAATGATTATAAGCTTGAAGTTGGCATGAAAGCAAACAGGTAGTCCGTGTAAGGCAGCTGGAGAGGGGACATGTGATGGTATTTACTTAACTCCCCTCAGTAGCCTGGCCGCCATGTTCTGGACCTGCTGAAGCTTCTATATCAACTTCATAGGAAGCTCCACGTAGTCTAATCTTGAGACTACCCATGCAGCGTAGTGAGGAACTGGATATCCAAGTAGGGACTGCACCATCCACCTAAGATGAAAATAGGCAGATTGGACTGCAGGCACTATCTGGGTGCCTCATCAACAGTGCTGGGTCCAAGGAATGCCCAGACTGCACATCTCCTCCTTAGTGGTCTACAAATAAATTATTATTATTATCTTTAGTGGAGAGAGTAACTCCACCAAAGGAACGGGAGACACCCAGTCTGCAGACACTAGGGGCACCCACCTGGATGACCCCTGTGTTGTCCAGCTTTCAGCCTTAGTCTGTAATTCCCTGTCCACCCCATCACAGCATCCATGCAGTGCTCAAGGGGTGGAACAGCATCCACTGCAGAAGGGTGGGAGATGCATGTCATCCACATATTGGTGACATGAAACTCAAAAACCACTGACAACCAACCACTCCCAGTGGCCTCATTTATATATTAAATAGCAATGTGGAGATGATCAACCCCTTGGGGCAGTGGTCCCCAACCTTGGGCCTCCAGATGTTCTTGAACTACAACTCCCAGAAGCCTTCACCACCACCTCTGCTGGCCAAGATTTCTGGGAGTTGAAGTCCAAGAACATCTGGAGGCCCAAGTTTGGGGACCATTGCCTTGGGGGACTCCACAATTGACAGTCCAAGGTGTAGAAACTAGATCTTCTTGCTGCAATTTCTGGAGATGGTCTCCTAAGGAAGAATGGGAGGCAAGGTTGCCACAACTTGCAAGGGACTTGACTGAACATAACAAAAACAGTACAACCTTTATAAGGTACAGGACATATAAAACAGTAACAGTACAGTAAAAATATTATTAAGGAAAGTTTGATGAAAACATAGAAAGCTTGGAGCCGGTGTAGGCACCACATGGTCTGCAGGATGCATGGTAAAAATACAGTGCTGATTACAAAGGTTTAAACTTTTCTGTGCAGTGTGAAAACGTTTGGGAGCAACAATTGTTGGTGTGCCATGTTCATGATCTTGTCTCCTCACTGTAAAACAATAAATAAAAGCCTCTTCCTGCTGGCAATTCAATTCAGCAGCAGCATTTTCAGTAACTAAAGACTTCTTTCTCCTGTCCCGCAGCTCCAAAGGGAGTTGGAAAAGCTGTGGGATAGAAGGAGGAAAATGTTAATTGCTGAAAGCCATGACCTGTTGATATCATCAATTTTCCACAGCTGTGCAAACTGGGTTTCAGCCAATATTTATTTCTTCACTCTATTTTTGTATTCTCCTAGCTGCATCTACTGGCTTTCTCCCAAGATTGGGGCCTCCTAGTCCAGCACTCACACCACAATACCAAGTTGGCTCTCAGCTCAGAAAGGCACGAGATTCCTGTTATTCCTGCCTTTGGTTGTGAGGCAAAAGGAGGACTCTGTGTCTCTAAGGGCTTGATCAGTGGATACTTTGGGGGACAAATTCTTGAAGGAACTCCTACCACGGGCTGTATCAGACTCTTCAAAAGCCATTTTAAAAATGGAAACAGAAAGTGTCTAGATGAAGACTTTTGATTTGGAGTTTTGTAATTTCTTGTATTAGGTCGCCTGCAAATCCCTTAAAGTAAAAACGACAGAAATAGACCACTTTTGGAATGTAGTGGGGAAATGCATTGTTCTTTTTCCATACTTTTAAACCTCTTGAGGGCTCTGGAATGGCCCAGGGGGCTTCAAAAATGGCCCTCGGGCTCCCATGCAGCCTGAGGAGCACACAAGGCATATGTCTGCCCTATTCTGCAGATTTCTTCATCTACTCAGTGCCTTTATTTTCCTCAACAGAAACGTTAGAGTAAGATTAGGTGGGTGGTGAGGTAACTTCATTTTTCTCTCCCATCAGTTGTGAGAAGGAGGAGCCCTTTCAGAATCCTGTGGCTTTTCTTCCTCATGTTCAGTGGAAGTTCTGGGATGTCTCCGATAGAAATACTGTTTGAGCTAAAAATATGAAGCAGTTCAGAAGCGAGGCAGAGTGCCTGCACAGATTGACCCTGGTCCTAAAGGGAACAAGAAAAAGGCTGTTTTTACTCATTGCATAGCAAATCACAGTCAAACCAGCAAAGCCTCTTTCTTGATAGCCCAGCCTCTGTTTCTTTTCCTGCTGATTGGACCAGACACAGGGTTACTCTTAGAGACCATGAAGTAGAGTGGGAGAAGAAGGTTGATGTTCATGAAGGAGACGGTTGAATCAGTGTGGTTGTGAGGGGTGGCGATCTCCCTCCTATGTGTTATCAATTTCCCTCCTTTACACCAATTGCTCATCTGTTCAGTTTGAGGAGTTCTCGACACCTTCTTCCATATTCAACACCCTGGATAATTTGATATCAGACACATATGATAGCACGTATAGATGGGCACGAACTGCAGTCCTGTGGTTTGACCCAGTTTGATGCAGTGCAGGCACAGGTGTTCCATGTGCACTGCACAATCCCCTCTCCCACCTCGTCTACATACTGACCCATTCCCGGCTGAAGCACACTTCTCTTCCCCCACCTCCTCAACACCTTTATCCACCCACCAATCGCACCATGTGCTTCCCTTCTCTGCTTCCTCCAGCAGCTGGCCACTCTGCTGCCTTTGCATGGGCAGCCAATAGAGGAGGCAAAGGAGAGAAGTGAACACTCCCTGCTGCTCCTGTTTAGTTTTCTTGAGATATGAGCTGTTCTTTGATTCTCCTTGCTCTCCAGCCCACTGAAGGAACTGCAGATTGGAGCCCCCCTCCCCTCACCAAGGTGGATTGATTTCCTGTTGACTAAAAGCTTTAGGCCTCTTCTGGTGCTAGGGCAAAACGTATCTTGGCCCCTGTATTGCTGCTCATGCCAGAGCTGCTAGGAGGAAAAGATGGAATCCACTCTTCTCAACAAAAGGCCCACCCTTGTGAACCCAGACACAACCCTGGCTATGCCGGACAATCTGTGCATACATGTGCATGGGTTTTCTTTGAAAATCTTGATTATATGGGAGTTATCTTTGGGAGCAGTTGTTTTTCAGGTAAACTGGTTCCAAAGTACAATATCGCAAAAAGATCAATAACAGGCTTAAAACAGATAATTACTATACCTTTTCCAGAGCTGCTGTTGTCTTGTTGTCTTGCTCCCATTAACATTCCAGACTCTGTAGTTCCCTTCCCGTCTCTAATGCCACCACCTCACTAATACAGTGGTGCCTCGCATAGCGAGGTTAATCCGTTCCGGATTAACCTTCGCTATGTGAAAACTTTGCTAAATGGAACGGAAATGTCCATTGGAACGCATTAAACGATGTTTAATGTGTTCCAAATGGGCCCCAAACTCACTGTTTAGCGAAGTCTTCAGGGTCTGGCAGCCATTTTCGCGCCCTCAGTAAGCGAGTGGAGGGCGTGAAAACGCTGTGCATGGCCATTTCGGGGCTTCCGGCGGCCATTTTTGAACCGCCGAACAGCTGATCTGTGGCGTCGCAAAGCGAAGATCGGTAAGCGAAATGCTTACCGATCTTTGCTATGCGAGTTTCGCCCATTGGGGCCGACGTTATGCCTCCGCATTAGCGAGCCCAGAAAAGGGATCGCTATGCGGATTCATCGCTATACGAGGCGCTTGTTAAGCGAGGCACCACTGTACTGCAATGCCACCACTATTACTGCAATGCGCTCTACATGGGGCTGCCTTTGAAGACGGTCCGGCGACTGCAACTGGTCCAGAATCAAGCTGGAGTGTGGCTGCTAGGGAACATATCCAGCCCATTCTGTTTAAGCTACATTGGCTACCAGTTGCTGACTGGGCCCAATTCAAAGTGCTTTTTTTGACATCTAAAACCCTAAATGGCTTGGGCCCTGGATGCCTGAAGGACCGCCTCCTTCCATATGAACCCACCCGGCAGTTGAGATCTAACCAGGAGACCCTTTTGAAAGAGCTGTCCCTTAAGGAGATAAGAGGGAGGGCTTGTAGACAAAGGGCCTTTTCTGCAGTTGCCCCCAGACTATGGAATGCCCTCCCGACTGAGATTCGTCTGG